ATCTATTTTTGGTCAAGGTAATAAATTATTTGCAAAGAATGAGATACCAGGGTTTACACAAATCCACACTAAAAACAAGTTTCTTTTTGTTTCCTCGGTAAGACCAGGGCTGTACTCACTACTCCTAGTACTAAGAGTTAGTGAAGTCCAGTCGTGCACCGTAGCCAATACTGCCTCCTTCCAGAAATGATGGGTGATTCCCATTATTATTGCTAAATTGGCATTTTTAGCAATTTATAATATCGGGAATCAAAATTTCAAGGGACAGATGGCAAGGAAGGCAGGCTTGTTCATCTCAGTCTTTTTGAGAATCTGGAATATAAAAAGAGGTCTGGGTAGGTACCAGTACTAGTACTAGTACTAGTGCTTTCTGTTGAATCTTACAAAATTTTGATTCTAGGGTTCCATCATAGTAGCTAGTAGATCCAGCACATTTAGAAAGGGGTTGAAAGACTCATTTAAAAAATGCAAAATCTATAACAACATGTATCAGGTTTTTGGTCTGTCTGTCTATCAAATTTAGCATTTCTATAATAACAGGAATCGCCCACTAGTATTACACTTTGCACCTCTTTAGTTGGAATAAGCTCAATATTTGGGCAATTTCACTGCTTCTTTTTTTATTATGTTGATCTTGTTTAAATTTTTTTGAATGTGCTATGTCTTTTAATGTTGTACCAGCAGCAATGAAGGAACATCACGTGATGAATAAGCCTTCAAAAAGGCTTATTTTTTCATATGAATATGATAATACCCCTGTCAGTTGGGTTCTAACGGTCATTTTGATACATCACTACTTGCACATCATGATAGCTAAGAGTGACATATTTTTGAGGTTGTCATTCTCTTCTTCAGTACATAGAAATTTCTAGTATCAGCAGTCATTCTTCTTGTTCAAAAGATGTGCCCGTTACCATTGCCAATGTGAAGTTTAGTTCCCTGTGTGAATAGAGGGTATTTTCATGCTGTGTAAAAAATTAATTAATTTATATTCATGCACATGCATATGTTTAGTCTCCAGTACTGATTCTATGTGTTGTACACAGTCATTCTTAGTCATTTGTGGAATCCAACTGCCGGAAACTCCAAAAACTGTAAAGTGAACACTGGACAAGTATTTCTGGAAAAATAGAGTAGTGCAAGGTGTATTACTATTACTTCTGGACTGAGGTAGTAAATTATATTACAAGCTCCTGCAAGAAACTATAAGAACAAAAGAGAAAAACATGTAAGCTTAGAAATTGATAGAAATAAGTGCACATTAGAAGTAAGATTCTGGTATATTCCTGTTATATTTTCTATTTTAATTGGGGAATTTGTTCTTGACACATTTAATATTAGTACTACTACTAGCTAGTAGACTAGGGCGTAAATGGATAATTGGACACATTAAAGGGAAAAAATGATCACGTTTGGTTCATAGTATTAATATTATATCCCCAGTATATTAAAACAAGATATCTGTAAATATGAAATGTGAGGCTCTAGTGGCCTCAAATTCATGAGAATGAATGTCATTTTTGTTAGCACGCAGAAATTCCCAGTTGTCATAACATTCTATTTTCTTCCGCTGCTTTTATTGCTTATTGATGGGTAGTACTGTGTTTTGACCTTCTACTGTTTCGCTCTCGCTCAATCTGTATGGAGAGGTTCTTCAAATCGCAGATAACATCACCTGCAGAAGTATCTAGCGGACAGTCGCTATCGCTATCATCATTCGGTACGTTTCTGCAATTGTAAAAATAGGTTTCGGATCGATACGACGAACGAGACTGAGCCTGCCTCAAGCTTATTTCCCCCCGTGAGCTTCGTGATGAATACCGACTGCCAAGAAAACCTTTTCTTCTGCTTCTATTGTTGTTCTCGGTATCTACCCCGGATTCTATATCGCTTTTTTCTTCCGCGATCAAACTCAAGTCTTTCCTAGTTACGATGGCGGAAATATCTGATCCAAATTCGGGGGGATCTACTCTGCCTCCTCGCCAAGTGCCAAGATCAATGCTAGGCATGTCAAGACTGAATTTTGAAACGTCGTTGTTAGCTTTCCTAATTGCAAACCTTGACATGTTGTCGCCATTTGTAAACATACTGGAGCAGTGGGACGTCAAAGATTGTATGGGGGAAGGTGGAGGATGGTCCATATGATCGGAGAGGCTGCCTGCACTCGTGGGCGTAGTTCCAGCCGACGTTGGTGAGATTAGGAGATTTCCACCAACATTATCATCCGTTGATGAGGATTGCTTTTTCTTCAGTGGAAGTTTGATTACTTTCATTGGCTCTTCATTGTCGCTATCGGCTTTTTTCTTTGTCTTTTTCGCTGCTATTGGTTTCGTGTATCGACGACGCAGGTAAAAATAGCATGCCAAAATCATCAAAGCGACAATCAAACTGGTCACGCATAATAAGGCAATTATCCACTTTTCATTTAAAACTCTTCTTTCGTTTGCTCTAGATGCTTCAACTCCACTGCTCGAGGAATCGCCACTCGGAGCACCATCTTCGACAGAGGATTCTGCAACCTTGGTTTTATTGATGTCAATTATCAAATACGTTAGATTCTGCAGAAAGTCTTCATCCTCCTTGAGAAGTTGGTCCAGAAATAATTTTTCATTTTGCCCCTTGAAGGCGTTTCGCAGGAGAGTTTCAATAAAAAAACTGGTTGGAACTTCGTCCGAAGTAAATGAGAGTGTCCCTTCGATTTCGAGTGTAGTGATATAACTGCCCTCGACCCCGTGCACACCAAAGCTATTCGCAGAGATGACTGCTTTTTCAAAGTATTCGTCGTCGTCCGGTTCTGTTCTCGCATAGTAGGCTTTAAAGTACTGGTTCAAATAATTCGTTGTGATCGCTTCGACTCTTTCATTAAGCTCTGCTGCATCTGTATCAACTGCCGAGCGCAGTTGCAAAATGATTGCACCCAGGGGAATTTCTACGGCGCCAAATGCTCTCAATACAAGAGCCACGAGCAAGAACACAATGCTCTGAGCAGAACAGCATCTTCGGGAGAGGATCATTTGAAGAACTGTAGATCGATGATGATCGATATGTGACGAACTGGAATATGCAAATAGAAAGAGACGTACAGTACTGCTAGGTTGGTATCGACGATGATGTTTTCTCATGAACCATACGAGTTTGCCGCCACTGGTACGAAGAAGCTGGTTCGTACTCGCACCGAATCGTGCTCTCTCTTCAGAAACTCGTGCCAAGGAGAAAAGTTGCACGAATGCTTGTGCACATGAGTAGTCAAGAAGTTTTTAAATTTTTGATTGCAACGATATTTTGCTAAATATACATAAAGACGTTAATTTATGGTTAAAATATTCACACACCGACTAGATCGACTCACTTTCGATTTCAAATTGAGATAGCGAAAACATAATGCTACCGGTAAATGCTAATCTAGCTACGTACCAGTTACAGTATAGTATCTAGAGCTCACGTACATACGTAGGGTACGATTACTCTTTCAGAACGTACGGTACGTATTCAGGTACGGAAAGATATATTTCAGATTTTTTCCGATTTAATTTTAGAGCTTATTACTTATTACTGTACTGGGTACTGTATTACGATACGGCAGCACCGCAAGGTAAAAACTTCGTCGAATTCGATTCTGTATTGTGGTACTGTACTTCGTGCTACTCCAGTCAACAGATTTGGATCCATAATTTTCTCTCTTGTTCCGATCTTTTGAATGTAAAGTACAGTAGCTGGTTTTGAGTTGAAGGAAGATTGCTTRTGATCCGAGCTTCCATAGGCGTAGTTCSTACTCAGATGAGCACTGAAAATATGGTATCAAYAATGCTCAATGTTTACGCTCTTATCGTATTCAGATTTCAAAATATAGAAGATCAGTATTTCAAAAAAGGTGCTGATCACTGAGTCGTAACATTCGAAGGTTGTCACACAACAATATATCATGAACGGTGGTGAAGCGGCAACAAACTGATAGGAGGAATAACGACTGAACTGCAATTCAATTTTCACCTGTACCTTTCACTACCAAATACATAAGAATTTTTCACATCGTCGTATAAGCCGATAGCGCATTACAATTGCGATTGACTCGAATTTAAACGACGATCGATCTCTAGAAAAGATTACAACTATACGCTCGTCTTCAATTACAAACCAATTCAATTCTAGTTGCTTTGGATATGGGGGAGCAATGTTTATTTTTTCATTCAACTTCTTCTTCGAATTCATACTTCGAGTTGACCAATCTTGAGTCGTCCGACCTTTCAACTAGAAACCATATTTTATGGATTCTTTGAAGATTGTAGTAGTTCGGTCGTGATGCCAATCGTCGAATTCAGCGAGGGAGTGATATTCCTCAACAATCATCCTTCGAAACTCGAACATACCGTTCTAGCACCGCAATCCGCAATCCTAGTCGTACGCACCATACAGATGGGTTCCTATGTATTGTACTACACACCATGAGGCACGAGTCGGAAACACTACGTAGCGGTAAAGATGAAAGATACAAGCTGCAACGGAACGAAACTCTTTTAATTACGAATGAAGAGAGACTAGTCGAAGATTTTCGATTGTCCTTTGTTTATTTTTTTCTTGTAATCTTGTAATGCAGAAGTGGATACTATCCAAGACTGGAAACTCTATTGAATCCCTCACGCCGGACCAGCTTGTGCGATATCATGCTCATTTTTTGGATCGAAAATACCGTTGTAACTAATCTCAAAAGATTTTGTTTTGGTCGCAGTTGCATCTCTACCAAGAAATTAGCAAGAAAAAGGCAGGTGACCGTTGCTCAGATTACAACGACTCCGTTCACTCTTATTCTGCCTGGGGTGACGAAGTACAACGTTTTTTCGATTCCGATCGTACAAGCAACTCTTTTTCGATCAGTGTGATGTTCATTGAAGTCTTCTTCTATCCCGTTMATATACACACTTTTAAATTCTCTTTTCATCAGAAGGAACTACTTACATCACGGTGTACTTGTAGCTCGTTCAACGTTTACGATGAAGAATCACAGCACTCTAGAGAGGATGGCAACTTTGCTACTTTTGGTACCAGGGATTGCCTATGGACAGGGTATGAATACAAACCCTATTTATCATGTCCGATCAGTCGTTGGAAAACGAGATTTGCAGACGCAGCTCAATCCGCTCGATATGTTGCTCTCTTTCTCCGACGATGGCGCAGATAAGGAAGACGAGTTCTACCTAGATCTCTTTGACACACCTGCCCTATTGACAAACTCCGATACCCCGWTASTGATTTCAAATGCGATGAATACTTTTCTCCTTGCCGAACTAAATGGCAGATTTGATGATCTAAACTCTGTTGAAAAGGTTTCTTCCGAGATTTTCAGTTTGAGCGAAAGAAATGGAACCTACGTGAATTCGTCGGGACTAGAAGATACTCGTATAGGAACGGAAACAAGGATGAAAGTGACACTTTCTTTTGAATTGTTGCCATCACCTAAGACTGATGAAGTGATTGATCTTTTGAAAGACATCATGTCCAACCTTACATATTTTGTGACAAACTTGACAAGTTCTGTAAGCGACGACAACGAGCTTAGTGGTGTTTACGAGGCCATTCGTAGAGAAATCCGTRAGCCTGYCTTCGTAACGCCCACTGACCAAACCATTGTCGTCGATATTTCTGGCCAGAACAAAAATGGCAGAATTGGCAATACTACCAAAAAATACGTCTTGTCGGCTGTACCAATAGTCCTTGTGGTAGCAGTTTTGGCCGCAGTTATCGTCTTCTTTGTTTTCAAGAAGAAACGCAAGACTGTCGAATCTGAGTCTGTTAAAGAYTCGGAATTGATGCATATGGATGTTGAGAATGACGTGTATAGTATAGATAGAAGCGTGGGCAGTGCCGAATCRCCCAAATCAGTAATTTCAAAGCTCAGTTCCACRAAACAAGATGAATCAAGTATCCAACACAGCATGTCCAATGGAAGCGGATTGATTCCAGGCATACTAAACACGCCAGGAACCCCGGGTACTCCTGGTACGCCAGGTACGTCGGGGACACCAKGTACATCAGACACACCAGGAACCCCAGGTACTCCTGGCGCACTATGTGGGGATTCCGTATTTTCGGGAATCGACACCACGTTTACAGGAGTTACGTCAAGTGTTTTATCACCTTCGTCAATTTCATCACCGAAGTCTATGATGACTGGTTTCACGTGTGCAAGTGGATCGACAGTCCGTGCGTCCAATATTCCAAAGAAACATAAAAATACTACAAATCCMAAGTCACCTGCTGGTGGTTCAGTCTTCGCATTCTTGGATCCTATCGCGGACAATGATGATGAAGATGATCATGACGATGAACTTGAGCTGATGGAACGAGCCCAACCTGCCATAAAATCCAGTGAAGGTCAAAATAACTCATCACCTGTGAACTCGAAAAATACAACAGATAAAAGTGAGTCATCATCCTCTCTCGAAGGTGTCTCGATATCCCTTCCCGCCAAGCCGAACAAAGAAAACGAGATGGAAGAAGACACAGCTTCGACTGAACCAGTTTCTCATGTACTTGCTGATCTGGAAAACATGGAAGCAACTATGACCTCTACTCCAAGAGACTCAACGCCTTCAAAGGCATTGCACGCGGCAGAAGCAAATAATGCACAAGATCTTACTCCATCGAAGAATGGAGAATCCACTTCGCCTTCAGAGAGCGAAGAAACGAACCTASAARATGGCCAKKTAAAACAGACTCTTCTTGTTGATACAGRAGCATCGAATAAATTGAGTCGGTTTTCATCGACTCAACGCAAAAACAAGAGCACACCGAACTCTCCAGTTCTGGCCCGCACTAMAACAGSCACTCGTAGCGCACCTGGATCTCCGGTTAATCAAGCTGGTAGACCACATTGGTTAAAGGCATTTAGCAAGAAGACATCAAGAATCCCAAGATCACCGAAATTCGAAAACAATGACGATTACGAAATGGATCTTAGTAACCCTTCACCGACAAAAGAGGATTATGGTGAAGGACGGGAATTGCACAACTTGGTAAATAAGAATATGAAAATTGTCGATAGACCCCCACAAGACTCAGAAGATTTCGATCATTCAGGACGTAGGCGCCATGTTGGCGATAATGTTGTGGATGGATCTGCGTTGTACCAAGCAAGTGCAATGCACCCAACAGACTGGTCCTACAAGTCAAGTGATGCCGATTCTGATGGAGCTTCTACAATCGATGAAGAAGGAAGTCAAAACCGGCAAAAACTTCTCTCCAAGGATGGAACTAGTACAAATAAAGCTTTGATGGATGGCAAGAAATCCACATCAGCAAGCCGTCAGCTGATTGATGATTTGGTCTGGCTAGAGAAAAAAATTGCGACTGTTAAGAAAGAAACTGCTACAAGTGGATCTCGAGGCGGAATTGAAACCGACGATTCNGAGTTGTTCAACAGAGAAATTCCGGAGGGGGCCWACATTTTTCTATCCCCGCGGATCTCTCTGTAAACTTATATTATACATGTCGTTAAATTTATATCCAAAACTACAGAAAAGTCTATTATCCCCTCTGCAAAAACATTTCCAATGCAAGACCATGAATGCTCCTCSGTGGTTTTGGCTTTTCTGACAAAAATTGTAACGAGTTACGCTACCCACAGACGTTGTTCGTCGATATCTACCGTCAACACACGATCGTCCAAAAAGGCCAGTCCCATAACGATGATGTGGACGTTGGCCTTCCTGCCCTCCCTCCGTTTCGGAAACCTCTTCCAGGTGCGTTCGGGATCGAAGGGCGTCGTCAGCGGCTTGTTGGCGGCCAGCGTGACCTCCCTTCCCCCCTCCGTCTCGAAGGCCAGCTCGACCCTCCCGAAGAGCGTCTTGGATCGCTGCCTCCGGGCCTGGAGATACCGCTCGTCGAAGAGGCCCCGGCTGACGACCATGCCCGTGACGCCCGTGTCGAAAATGACGAAAATCTTCGTCCCMTTCCCCGAGGCCGTTTCGGCGAGGGGGACCCCGTCGACGACCACCGATTTGGCCCTCGCGGTGTAGTGRCCGACGGGATCCCCGTACCTGCGCCTCAGGAGGTCGGTYGTGGGGATGCGGTCGGGGGCGGCTCCGAGGAGGGCGGTTCGGGAGAGGGTGAGGGTCCGGGGGCGGCTCGCCAGGTCGATCCGAAAGGCCGAGGCGTCGGTCTGCCCCAAAAAGGAGGGCCGGATCCGGGCGTCGGTGTCGCGGATCATTCCGAAAAAGACCCCGCCGGGCCCCCCCATGATGGACTCGGAGGCGACCCCGAAGACGACCTCGCCGGAAGGGGTTGGCTCGGGAGGAGGCGGCGAAGAGGGATCGGGGTTCGGCGGAAGAAGCGGCACCGGGGAGGCGGTGGCGTTGGCATTGGCGCCTGCCCCGGCAATGTCCAGAAATCCAAAGGAGGCGGACCGCCACTCGACCTCCCCCTCGAAGCCGTCAAAGATCTCGATGGTGGGCTCGAGCGAGGGGACGGGCCTGCCCTGGTTTCGGTAGCAGCCCGACTTGCGGCGGGTGTTGGCCCCGCAGGASCCGGGGATCATCAGGAAGGGGCTCCCCGTGTCGAGGACCGCCTTGAAGGGGCTCCCGTCGACCGAGTAGGCCACCAGCAGCTCCCGGCCCGTAGAGGCCAGCGGCACCGTCAGGAGGGAGGGGGGCCCGCCGCCTGGTCCCGGGCTGGTGTACCCTAGGACGGGGGGGGCTTCCCCGGGAGCCACGGGCCACGCCGAGAGGCCCGGCGATGCCACCACCGCGGCAGCGGTCGCGTCCCGGAGGAATCCCCGCCTCGTGGGCGGGAGGCGTCGCTCCCGAAGGGGAAGCCCCCGGTCCCGGGCGGCCTCGCTGTTGGGTTGGTCGTTCCTTTCGTGCTTGTGCTTGTGCTTGTGGTTGCTTTGGTCGTCGTGGTGGTCTTCGCCGCCGCCCCGGCCCCCGGCGGAAGCCCGCGTGGTGCGGGCCGCGAACGCGTGGACCCCTTCGCTGACGGAAGGGCCGCCGCAGGGGGGGGCGACCAGGAGGGCCGCAACGGCGGCGCAGAACCGGGGGATCTTCCCAATGGAACCACGCCGCGCGGCCGGTGCGGGCCCGGAATCCGTGGACCGATTCCCCCGCATCCCGGGGGTCGGCGGGGAAGAGAGGGAGAGGAAGGGAGGGAGTGTGGTATGTGTGTTTGTGTGTGTGTGTGTGTGTGTGTTTGTGTGTTTGTGTCAAAGGGATATGGCGTGATCGCCCGGGCGACGCGCAATGCCGGTTTGGTCGGCGGCTCGATTCTCTGCGCTGACTTGTTGGGTTGCTTCGGGGGTGGGTTCACCGAACGAAGGCGTCCGAACGAAGGCGTCGTTGTGGTGGTCTCTGTTTGTCGGAAGGCTTCCTGCAGGTTCCGTACCGTACCGTACGGACAATCTTACTGAGGAAGCCAAACAAGGCAGGACGATGCCGATTCCCAAAAAATCTTTCTTTTCATTTTTTCGTGCGTTCCGTTAGTGTAGGTACGTAGAAGTACTGAGTACTACCGTACTCGTACCATATTCGTTTTCGGAAGAATGCTCCCAGAATGAAACTGGAACGACGAGTATGAGTAGGTACGAGTACTTGGTACGTACCTGGTATGTCCCTGATACGTACGAAGAACATCCAAAAGTACTCTACGAGATCGGTGTAGCTTTCGTGTAAGTACGTACGAGTACGAATACCCAGGCAGGCCCATCCCAGGGATAGCATGTCCCCTCCCCTACCGTAAGCTAACGTACCGTACCGTAGGACCGAAAGACCCCAGTAAGTAAAGTACTATGGTGCGGTCTAACGTACGTACCGGTACTTCCGCATAGTACGTACAGAACGTACGGTACGTGACGTAACCTACGTCCGTTCCGAAGACGTGCACGACTGGAACATCTCACCGGCGACACGTGACTCAGCAGTCCGACGCATTCGTTACAACATCCCTCGTTTTGATGAAACTAACGTGCTCGTACCGGTACGAGCTGTGTACGAGTACGAGGAATTGGAATTGGAATCCTGTTTGGGAGGGACAACGAGCGCTTCTCCCCGTGCGCCGACCAAGAGAGCCACCGGACCCTCGACGACCAAACGCAGCGCCGTACCGCACCGCATTCCTGCCAACGCACCCGCATCGATCCGGGTCTCTCGTTCTCTCTTGCCGACGCGCAACACCACGGAGCACGCACCAGGGCTTGGCCCGGAAGGCAGAACAAGAACAAGAACAAGAACAAGAACAACCACCGCCATGCCGCCGGCACCGACCACCGCCAAACGGGTGCTGCTCGTCCTGCAGCTGCTGGGGGCCCCGGGGGGAATCGCCCCGTTTCCCCTGTCTCCGCCTCTGCTTCCGCAATCGACAAGGACATCGACCAAGACCACGACCAAGACCACGCCATCGAAATTGCGATCGCGATTGCGGGTAAGCACTCTCGGAGAACAAACGCGCGATCCCTTTTCCGGGGAGGAGGGGGAGCCGCGCCCGGTTCCGTTCCAAGATGCCCAACCCGCTCCCGGCTCTCCCCAAGGCCTCCCCCGRCGGGGAATCCTCGCGGTGGCGGTGGCGTCGGTCGCTGCGGCGGTCCCCCCGCCCCCGGTGGAAGCCAAAGCCGAAGCCGAACCTTCGGGCCCTTTCCTTGCGGCCCCCCTCGAGTTCGTCCCGGCCCTCGGGGCGTACGTGGTCCGGTACACCCTCTTCGGGGAGGCCTTTGCGGCCGTGGTCGACACCGGGAGCCCCTTCCTGACGGTCCCGTCCTACTGCCGGCCCTACCGCAACCAAAAGATGCGCTGGGGCTGCTACCGTCCCGAGCGGACCCAGGACAGCGGCTACGCGAACACCGTCGAGGGCTTTGACAACAACTACGGTGCGTTGCGTTGCGCTGTGTGGTGTGGTGCTTTGTTTTGTTGCGCTGTGCTGTGCTGTGCTGTAGTGTGCTGGTTTGCATTCCCCCCGCCGTGCAATGTCGTCTCGCTGCCGCTGTCGCGCATGCCCGCCGCCTCCTCACCTTCTTGGTTTCTGCTGCCTCGCCGTTTGTCCGTTTCGTCTCGATCGCAAGGAGTGGTGGTGTGGAGAAAGGCCGACTTTTCGTTTCCCGGCCGCGTCTCGCCCGGGGAAGGGCCGCTGGGGGGCACGGGGGGAGCTACGGACCCTTTCCCGGTGGTCTTTGGCGTCCTAGGCGAGGATCTGCTGAACGGATCCGGGGGGGTCTTTTTCGGGCTGATCAAGGAGACCGATCGGTGGATACGCCCCTCCTTTCTCGGCCAGGCGGGGTACGCGAGCTTCTGCGTAGATCTGAGGCGGGGTGCCGCGGATTCCACGGGCCCGGAACTGGTGCTGTCCGAGCGGTCCATGATCGGAACCACCACCCGGCAGATTTCCGGAACGAGCAACAACAGCGGCAACATCAGCAGCAACAGCAGCGGCAAGCACAACAGCTACGAGTACGGCGGCATTGCCGATTTCGTTCCCCTGGTCAGGGACCTCAAGACGCGGTACGGAGCCCCCGTGGTGCACTACACGGCCCGGGCCTCGCGGTTCGTGGTCAACGGCCTCCCGCTCCTCATCGACCAGCGGAGAAAGCCCCTCTTTGTCATCTTCGACACCGGAGTCAGCGGGATGGTGGTCTCCCGGGACCTGTTCGATGGCAGGTACCTCCAGGCCCGAAAGAACCGCGAAAAGTCGCTGTGGGGGAGCGTCGAGGTGGCCTTTCGGACCAGCGCGGGGGGGGAGGTCGTCCTGTCGGCGGAGAAGCCGATCACGACACCCCTGGGAAAGGCCGCTCCCTGGAAGGGCTTTCGGGGAAATCTGGTGGTGGTGGGCCTGGCCTTCCTGGACGGCCTGGCCACGACCGTGGATGCCGACGACGGAAAAATACGCTTCGACGAATGAAGCAGGGAGCCCGACTCGAACGGAATACCGAGCCGAACCGCGCCGCGCCGTGATGCGGATGGCAGCGTGGGTCATGGGGCGGTACGGCTTGCCACACAGGAGCGATGGATTCTCTCCCCGTTCCGTTCATGCATTTTCCTTGCAGTGCGAGGGAAAGGGCTGCTACGGAACGCAAGGCGGCGCCGACCGACCTCGCTTGTGCCAAAACGTTCTCGCAGAATATCCGGCACACCAAAAGTCGAAACACGACGAAGATACGCAGCCTCGATTGGACGAAATACTTCCCTTTATGCCACGCGCACATCCCGTCGCTTCTCGGCAGCGGCCCCGGCCGTTTTCCAGAACACTAGTCACGCCCAGTACCGGCAATGTTCTGGCACAGGTCTACTCCATCCACCCCATTTTCTTACAACACGCAAGTCAACACGATTGGACACGCACCTGCGGGAGAACGACAAAGAAGAATTGTTTACCGGGGTGGGTGGGCGGAAAAGCGCTGATAGAAAGGATTTGAAAATCAGAGGAAGCTGGATATAGAAGACGCCGAATGCTGATGCTAATATGAATTGCTGATATAGACGATGTACTTTGTCCTGATCCTACTACTTCCAACGAAGATAATACAGTAAATGATAGTATTTTCATAATGCTTGTATAGGCATTATTTTCACTTTTTATCAAAGTTCTGCTAAAGACTGATTATTATTTCAACCGACACTTGCAAGCGCTTGGTTTTGTTTTGTTCAACGCCTCGAGGGGCGGGCTGTGCAGCACAACTGTTGTATCTTTTTGCTCCTCAACTGCATTGATTGAAACATGTATTTTCTTTCTTTTTTTTCTCTCTCTTTCTCTGTAATAAGTTTCAGGGGATAGGTATAGGTGTCTCTGTATGCTTGTCTGTCTTTCAACAAACTCACTATCGTTATCCTAATCCTTAGACTAGAGTGGCAACAACAACAACTCCAGCGGCACTTGCAATTGTGCTGCATCTGCTGTGTGAGCCACAAGATTGCCAAAGACCGCATCCATGTCGTCTTCTCATGAGATTCTAACCTTGGTGCAAAACATACTGGTTTCTAAATGAGCTTATAACCTGTTAGAATACATTATGGTCTTAATTAGAACCTTAATATGGTCTTAATGAGAACCTTAACTTTGAGTCAATACCAGCAGGTTCTTCTTTACTACCCATGGGTAAGAAATAAGTATTTAGATGGTGTAGAACTGTGCAGGACTTGGAGAATTGGCATGACATCAAACACCTAAGTTATCAATCTCTGCTTCTAGTAGTAAGTTATCACCATGAATGCCATTTAGCCACTTCCAAAAAGAAGCTCTGTAGAGGTAGCTCTTAACTTTGGCAGACACTGACAAATATGCTGGAGACTATGGATACAGATGCTGGATATAGAGTAGGGACACTTGACACAGACACCACTGGATACTAGTAAAGAAGAGGGGCTTGCAGAACATGGGGTGGTGTTGAATAGAACATAGTATAAAAGACACTATTCAGTAGAAGTACATACTAGTATAAAAGACACTATTCTACTATGAAGCAGATGCTGAGTAGTGCAGAGGAATTGAGTGGATACAGAGGATGCTATTATGAGTTGCTGATGCAAGTGACTGATGCAAGTGACTGATACAAGAAGTTGCTGATAGTACAAGGGGATTCTTGAGGACACTGATACTGGATATGGATGTTGGTGAACATGGAGGAAAAATAGTACTTAGAGTCTACAATTATGTCAGTAAATGTGTGGATCCATCAAGCAGCTGGTGATACAGATGACACTGGATAGACAATAAATGACACTTCTTACTACCACCAAGAAGCCAGCAATCATAGATGGAGTAAAATCACTTGTGAATGTTTCTGCAAAACCCCAACCCCAAACCTCTCAGCCAGTCTCTAATCCTCTCTTTTTCTTGTCGCTTGGCCCTAGCCTCTTCCAGTTGTAAGAACTTTTCTCTATCCTGGTCACCTCCATCTCCAGTCTTGCCTTCAAGTTTTGACCTGCTGCCACTCAAGAAATGCCATCACCAATGCAGCATTGGTGTCAATATGGTGGTGTTGCTATATCATTGTTGCTCTGCTGCACTTGCATTTTTAAGTGTTGTTACCTCATGTCAAGAAGTTGGTTGTGTTGCAATTGTTGTTGTTCCTAGTATTGTTCCTACAAGCACTCCTGGTGTTCATCATACAGCACAAGGAGTGTGTGAAATATCAATAGCCTCACTCTTAAGAAATCCTTGTTTCAAATCAAAGGGATTCTCCCCAACACCAATGTTGCCCTACTTGTGACTACATTGCATTTTGCCCTGATGGAATCCTTGGTTCTACCAAAGGGGGAATTTTTGCATGCCTGTTGACTACCTGCTAATACTCTGTCCTCAATACCAACAACCAAGCCAGATCCCTACGTTCCAAGAAAAAAAATATTTGTTGAAAACTATTTAAACAGGCTAGTAGTAGTAGTAGTTTGACAACTACTACAATGTTTTGCCATAAGATATTCCCATGATCAACTGATTGTGTATCATTTATCAAAACCTGGTGGTGGCACAACAATATTCACTTTGTCTAATCATCATCTGACGGAACCACCAAAGCAGTGGATGACAGTTATGGCAACTCCAACAAGACCTCCTGATGATCATCTGATTGCATGCATATTCTTGTTAATCAGAATTTGGTGATGTGACACACCACGTGAACACTGTGTGATCATCATCTGATGGAATGACAGAATTGTCATTATTGTACTAACAATTATGATCTCATCAAATGATGACAATGGTAAGACCTTCCCATGATCATCTGATTGCATGTTATTATTCTTGTATCACATGATCATCATCTCATCCATTTTCCAAAAGGGTGAATGACAACCACCACAACAACAGCAGCAGCTGCAGCAGCAGCAACAGTAACAACAACAACAACAACAACAACAACAAAAGCAGCAGCAACTCTGACAAGACGTTCCAACAATCACCTGATTGCATATCTTTACTAATCCAAATTGATGAATGTTGACATTTTTCTCATCATCTTATGGAATTGTGAAATGGGTGGATGATGATCATCTGATTGCATATTTTTAATTGAAATTGGTGGTGATGCAATGTCCACATTGTGATCATTATCTGGTCTGAACCTGAAAGCCTAAATTGAATTTTCCAAATTGGTGGCTCCTTACTATGAATATCATGATAACAAGTGGTGATCGCCGCGCTAAGAAAGTGGTTCCCATCATTAATTTAATGATGTTACTATCCTTAGTGCAGTAGAATGCAGTACAAAATCTACTGAGGTAGTTCTTTGCAACAATTCTGGTGGTGCAGAAGCAATCCTGCTTCTTTCTCACCAGAAGAACAACAAGGCAAATCACACCGAAAATTTTGGGGGAGCAACACTCATTAGAGCTCTCCAGAAATTGTACTGAGGAAAAAATAAGGAGTATGGCATCACTAAATTAACAAGATCACTTGCTATGATGATATTCATTTGCATTCATACTAGTTGTACTATCATTATGGTCAGACTTAATTTATTAAACCCATGGATGGAGAGCAAGGACTCCACACTCCTTCCTCCCAGCATTAGTATCTTCTGATGGCTACTTTTCAAGAGGTAGAGGCACAACGACAAAAAGTGACTCCGGCATATAGTGTGAAGACAAAAAACAAAAAACTGCAACCATTCCGTTCGTACGGTACGGCAGGTACGAACCCACACGATAGGGTAGTTTTATTTGTACTGTGCCAGGAAGGGGTCATAACTTAGAGAGGCGTACGCGATGGACATACGGATTGCGGTATGGAATATGAGTTTCGACGCGACCCTCTCTAAATTATGACCCCTGGTGACCATGTACTCGTATGTACGTAGTACTACCGTATTGAAGTGTTTTCGAAGTTCGAACAGGTTTGCAAGTTTCAGAAGCTTCCGTTTCAAACCTGCAACTGGCAACAGAAGCATCTCCCATTCATTCAGTCAGCATCGGATGCTGTTTATTTCCAACAAAATCAAGATTTTCGTCATTAGCTCAGAAAATCTATTTCACCCCAMTAGAACTATAGCTCACATTTCCATTTMCAWTYACRATCACGATCACGATCACAATGAATARCCATCTAACGCCGTCGATGTGGGGGATCGCAWTACTCGTTCTTCTTTCAAATATATTCTTCGTCGACCACGCAAATGCCGTTGGGACAGGTCATGTTTATTGTGGGAGTGAACCCTGCATCGAGCCCCTTCGGTCCTCTTGCGAGGAAATGATCAACACCTACCACTTTCAGGGATCGTGCTGCGCGATGCAAAWAATCCCCGGAACAGGGGGCTGCAGAATYACGGTCGGTTTTGGAAACTGCTTTTGGTACCCAATTTGCGGTCGTTGCGAGGTCGATTCCGAAGATTACGACCGAGACAGGTGCAACATTATCTTCGAGGCGGACGTCGTTGAGAAAAYGTGTCCGAGATACGACTTTGATCCGTTAGAGATTCAGAAGAGCCCGACCTGGTCCCCGCCGAGCTGTGCCCCATCGATGTCCCCCACGTTAGCTTCCGAGAAGTCGGACTCCTCGACCATTGTGACGGGCAGCCGGGTATCTCTTCTTGYGGTAGTTCTCGGGGCCGCCGTGGCCGTGGTATGAAAAGCCAGTCGGCTTCGATTCGGATCGATTTACGTGTTAAGAATCTGGCAGCGKGCTGGATTCGGTACTCTGCTTGTTGTCACAAGCTACGTACAYAGAGATTGGGAATGTTRTTTCAAGCCGTTCGGACCCTTGTCTGAGAATTAGACAAGTAAAATTCAATGAAAAGCATATTTTTTAATTCARTATTAAAATCTCTTGTTTGTGGTTTCTGTCCTACTGTTTGCTTTCAATAAAATAACTGAACATGCGATGAAGTATTGAAGTATTACAGAATTTTCACATCCGTTGGACTCCTAGTTACCAATATTGTTTTGCTGCTGATCGGCCTCAATGTGAAATAGCAATKCAAGAAATCAWCYTTTACTCTGCAGTGAGATCATTCATGAGCATCARCGTCAACGTCATCATCACCATTATCTGAAAGGTGCAGACTAGACCCAAGAATTGTAGATGCGTCAATAGAAGGCGACGATGCCCTCGAGTTGCTACCRTTCGCATAGATCTCACTGCTTGATGCGAATGTCAGATCCTCCGAGAGGCAGCTGCTGTAATCCAAATCAACTGCCGAGGAACCATTTTTTCTCGCCATCGCAACTAGAGAACCTTCACCAAGMAGAAAAATGACAGGTGACGACCGTGATGATTCATCTCTGAAATTTTCTACTTTCGACTCGTTCTTGATCATAATATTACCMTCTTCAATAGTTTCAAAGGGGACAGAGGAGTCGAGATGGACATCATTTACACATTTGTTTGACTGTTCCTCTTCTTCCCTAAAGACTGATCTGATTTCACACCAYTTATYATTCTCGTCGTGTCTACCCTCATTATTCTYCTCATGAACAGATTYACGTCCATCACGACCAGCAGCACTATCGCGGTCATCATCATCTCTATCATCTTCATCCGTCATGATTTCCGTAACTGATGAGGTTCCCGCGTCAAAGGCCAACAAGCTGGATCTTTGATTGTTTGTATCAGATCCGGATAATTGATTCTCCTGCTCGCTTTCAACGTCACCACAAGCACTATTTTTCTCTCTTTTCARTTCTCTCTGCTCCCCTTGAGGCAACGAYAAAGACGAAGAAGCACATGTCTCCGGGATTTTGCCGAGGTCAACTAGGCTCTCGAGTGTAGTGTCGGGCGRCACACGGTGGATCTCGGAAAGTTCTACTGTTGTCGCGGTTGATGTGACATGGTTACTTCTATTCACAGGAAGCCCCGTGGTCATCGTGGACGTATCCGATATAGAATGCTTMCCCGAGCGATACAGGAACTCCGTCGGATAGTGATATTGGTCAGCAGGAAGAGAGGATTGCTGCTGATGGTTATCAAAACTATAGTTGGAATGRTCTTGTTCTGTGTTCTCTTCGACRAAAGATAATGGCAGAAAAGAATCGGGGCTCTCGTAAGTGCATGCAGGCRTAGAYCCGAAAGGTGGAAAAGTTCCGTCGGTGCTTCTCTCATATGTGACAGAGATTCTTTTATGTTCGTATCCATGAAAGGGGCTTCCGGTACTGCTCCATTCAGAACCTCCACAAAATGAATGATGAGAGGGCAGACAAGTCTCAGGACGACTGTTGCTGCAACTTAAACYATTGTCGCTTTGCGACAACGATTGGATCAGAGTCAACAATTGTTCTTCTGTTTTTCGACGTTCTCGAAACTCCAATACTAGGTAGACCGCAACGCACAGAACAATAGTACCGGAAAAAACGATGACAAAAATTGGAAATGTCTCACGTTTCTCTAACATCATCATYTTTTCTGCTTTGGACTCAACTATTTCTGGCGTCACATTATACGCAGGKGCCACAATCTCATCATCAAAGGAAACACCATTGGAACTAAAAATACGCGAGTGGTGTGACTTGGACGAACTCTGATTAGCACATGGAAAAATATTAGRAGSAGTCGATGTACGATTCTTCAATGAATCACAAATGGAAGGAATAGAATTGATTTAATAATTGTGATAGATGGCGACAATAKTACAAAYTGAATCGACTCTTCCTCGACTGACTATGACTCACCATATATTGTAGACCAATGTCGTAGCTGCTATTTTGTTTCTCTTTCAATCCTTCATTGCGGGATCGGCCCTGATATAGACCTATTACAAATTCACAATCAGYCCAAATTCGGGCTTCTTTAGTGTCCGGTTCTTGCTCGTAAAGCTGACGTCGGCAATGCCCTGTGCAGCTAGGKCGATCGACACGCAGGTTTCTAGTAGGAAAGATATTGYGATTTTGTCCTTTCTGTCCATGACCAGGATCATTTGGAGCTGATAGAGTGTCAGTCGAAACATAAACGAAACCAATCATAATGACCTTCGCGAAGTATACCATATCGCAAATCATGGTTCATGACCTCAGAAAARWTCTACGATATTTGCTGGTCCAGTTTTGTTATTTCTCTTCCTAATACAAAAAACAATGCCCTTTTGGGTCGTCGTTTGACAAATATGATTGTTGCATTTTTGGAAATCAACTTCTATCACATYGGAATACTACGGAGTATACATCTTTTTTTCAGCAAAGATCTTTGTACCGGTAGATTATCGAAGTAAACCATGATATTATTTCGAACCATGTTAAATTTGATACACTCTATTGTAGCAAACAGAAAATTGTTCTAYGAACGCTTTTTCTATCTAGCAATTTATTCGAGTGATAGCACAGTGCAAAAGTTATCGTGACTTCTCATATCTCACATGAAAGGATAGGCTGTTGATGAATATCGTGCCCCATTTTGGTCGAGTTCACTCTGTCATGCGGAGATACACCGCTACCATAACATCTCTGTGGGACATCAATCATCGCTCGAAAGTCTGGACCATCGTCGAAATGAGGTGATGTGAAGATGATGTCTGTGCTGGTTCGTTTCAAACGTGGAAGATGCACGACTAATTTCCTGCCGCACAAAAATAATACGAAGTAGAAGTACGAGTTGGAGTACTACTGTACCCGGTGCTCTCCTTGCCTCGTAATGATCTGCTGGGGTTGACACCATTCGTCCATCACGCGTGTAATTTTCCAAATCCAGTTCACACGGTACCGTACGTACGGTAGATTACTCGTCCCAKTACGTACTCGTTGGAGCTTTTCATCACCATACAAAAAAATGAGAAAATCTCTCTTCATTCATACGAAGTAACAATGAATTTTTCAACTTGACAACGAACGAACCAATCGGTTGGTGCTCGCGCGGCAGGCTATGCGAGCGAAGAAAWTATGGCAGAATTTTCAATTTTCAACGCAGCGTGTGCATATTGGTTGGGATTTTCCGGAAGACATCGTTTWAAAAACAGCTTTCTCGCCATCCAATTTCAGGCTTCACCGTTTCGCCCCTACTACTGGTACGAGTTACCGTTCAAGCAAATGTTGCTTCATCTTTTTCTTTTTCCCCCATCACGGTTTCTGGGATATTTCCTCGTTTCGAACAACTCTCGAGGGCTGACAGAGAAGTGCTCTAAGTTTAAACAATTGATCCACAATATTTCCAAGAAACAACGCAATGACTCGAGGAAAGAACTACGTAAACAATCAACGCGGAGCTCAGCTCCAAGCCAAACCARGTGGTGGAGCCAAATCCGCACCAAACATGATCCAGTACGAAGCTGAGAGCGGGTGTCAACGTACCGAATGCACMAATCGGCATGATCAACCCTCAAAACGCGCTTCTAGTGGTAGTGGCAAAGTCGAYATTTGCATTCCCTTCCTTGCTGGAAAATGCACCTTCGAAAAAGGATGTCGCAAACGCCACCCGGCTAAGAATGAAGTTTCACGTCTTTTAGCAAAATACAAGAAAACTCGTTGCCGATTTGGGGATGACTGCTACACAGAAAGTTGCTTGTTCTTGCATCCCAAGGAAGAAAAAGCGCGACAACCGCATTTTATCTCACCACATAACTTCCCTCCGTTATCGACTTGCGTAGYAGTAGACTCGAAAAAAGCTACTTCCGCTCGCGGTGATTCTGCGTGGAACAAAATTCCTCCCAATGTTGCTGCAACWCCATCTGCCAATCGGGTTTCTCCATCGCCTTCCTCCCAGCACACCGATGATGGATCTTTACCCCCAGATCAGCAGCAGAGAGATGGGCCAACTCAGCATCYTACTGCTGCTTGGGGGCCGCCACCCCCAATGATGATGATGATCAACAATRCTACTCTGCAGCAACCAGTGCCTATGCCACCACCGCATCCTCAGGGATATTACGGTGGCCCGCCACCAATGATGRTTCCAAATATGATACCTCCAATCACCGATCCAAACACCGGATATCCATTGGATCCGTCTATGATAGCATATCATTACGAACAGCAACAGCAGTTTCTCTATCTTMAACAACAACAACATTTGGTTTCCCCGTATCCCATGGTTGCTGGTGTCGATATCCCTTGTCAACACAAGGGTAGTCCCTTCAACGCTGAAGCGAAGGAGTTTATTCCTGGTATGCCTGCCTAAGCAAATGCAAACGACGCGTTCAAGATCCTTAGCGAAGAAGTATCTCGACGTTCTACCGCGAACAGCTCACTATCTCCACCGCTCAACTCTGAGCAAATTCATACAACACAAGCTACAAAATTACATCTTGGTTTAAATTCCCTGTTGTATTCGAACTATCCCAATACCCTCCTAGACGCACTTCACAAATATATAAATCACCACCATCATTTTTTCATGAAACCAACAAGAATATTATAACAAATAACAAGGTAGTACTATAAGATCTCACAATGAGTACCACCACTCGGTAAGAAGCAATCTCCTGCTTTAATTTATGTCATAACAATACTAAAATAATGGACTACTACAAGTATTTCTCAAGCAAAAGTCATTTTTGCAGTGTTCATTATATTGCATACTATTAGTRAAGAAGCCAGCAACACTTCTTGYAGTTGCAGTTCAGTTTACTAGTACTGAAACCRGCACATTTCAGATTTCTTGTATTCTTTTTGTTCATYACAGAAGGATTATTCCTTCTATGCTTCTTAGCAACTCCAACAACTAGACAAGGTGTCTGTAATGTTGGTGATAGATTTTTGTGGTCCATTGTGTATGTTCCATCATCTCTGATGTATTTCCCTCTCTCTCCTAGAGGACAAGCTAATGTAGTCACTGCAATAGCCATGCCCAAAACATATGATTGCTTCCAATTTCTTGGAACTCCAAGGCAACAACAAAGTACTATGAATAGGCTGAGAGCAAATATTTATGTRGAAATTTAGAACCTTGAAGTGATTTATGCCCACCACTGGTTACCATCAGATGATGACAAAAATGAGGAAAKGGAGGAAGTGAGGAGCCAAGGGGAAACAGAGCTGGCAATCCATGAAGACAAAGAAGCAGGCTGCTCCAATTAAGCTGGCAATTCCTGAACCCCCAGTAGTAGGATAGTAGGATAGTAGGATATGAAGATCCAAAAACAAATTCTTAGTTCATTTAATACTACATATTAGTAATCAACAAGTTCAGTATACTATGTCACTTTTGTACTATTAATGATCATTGGAAGATGTTCATGTCGTCCATTTATGCTGTTTTTGTGCACAAAATGTCACAATTTTGCAATTTTGATCCAACGCTGTTTGTGCATTTGATGATGATTGGAAGAAGTTCATCCTATTGATGTTTGTGCATGAGATGATGTTCGCTTGCTGATACAGAGGATGCTGATACAGGGCGGATGATACTGATATGAGTTGCTGATACGGAGGATGCTGATACAGAGGATGCTGATACAAGTCACTGATACGGAGGATGATGATACAGAGGATGCTGATATGGAGGATGCTGGTACAAGAAGTCACTGATATGGAGGATGCTGATATGGAGGATGCTGATACAGAGGATGCTGATATGAGTTGCTGACACAGAAGAGCCAGTGATACAGAGGAGCTGTTGATATTGAGGCTTGCTGCTGATACAGAGGCTGCTATAGAGGAGCTGCTGAGGAGTGGGTCTATGATTATGGTCTACAATTATGCCTGTACTATTGGTGCAGATCCATCATAGGAAGGACTTTTTGATATTGAGGATGCTGATATGAGTTGGTGATACAAGTTGGTGGATGCTGCTGATACAGAGGATGCTGATATGGATGAGTCACTGATATGGCGTCCACTGATACAGAGGATGCTTCTTGTTTACACAGCATCTGCTGATACGATTTGGTGCTTCTTACTATGCAGAGGATGTTGATACGGAGGATGCTGATACAAGCCTGTGATACAGAGGATGCTGATATGGAGGAGTTGCTGATACAGCATCCACTGATATAGCATCCACTGATACAGAGACTTGCTGCTGATACAAGTACTAGGAGTATGCTAAGAATATGGAGGAGCTGCTGATACTACATTGTCTTCTGGTGGTGATACCACAGGTTGCTGGTGCTGTGGTAGCTGCTTATTACTTGTCCCCTGCTAAGATCTTAGAAAACTGTCATTATTATGTTTCTATTATTGAYAAGGATTAACTTCATCCTCATCATATGTCTCCTGTTTATTATGCTGGAAAGAACTGCCTTCTTATGCCTGTTGATGGAAGTAATTCTGCTCAACCAACTTTGCAGATTTTTGCTCTACYGGCATGGTAGATGGCAGTAGGAATCAACACAATGTACACATATGTAGAATTGTACATGATTTTCCCACTGTTGCAAAATTAGTTGCATTTTGTTGATACTGTACTTCAAGACCTTAGTACTAACAATTTGACTGGMTCGATTAAATCACACTACTTTTTGCATTTCTTGAGAAATGTTGCTATTGCAATTACAAGTAGAAAAATAAGTACCATCGCGACGATGGTGTTCTTTCATTAGTATCGGTACGAGTACTTCTGGTCGGGTCGATCAGCATGTTCTGCAACAGATAAGACACACAAAAGAAGCTCTGAAGAAAGATATCCAGGTAGAAAATTCTTTGAAAAGGCGCCCATATTCAAAATCATGGGGGACAGCAACGATGGCAACGACGACAACYTTCTCACGAGCTGGTCATGCTGCAACGACGAGCAAACCGTCTTTTTGCTGCTTTATATCGCCTACGTGGCGCTGGCCCTTCTCACCTGGAAATCATTCATAGCCAAACCAATCCGATTGGTGGCCGTATTTGTTCACGAATGGTGCCACGCTATAATGTGCTGGTTGACCTGCGGAGACGTTCGCAAAATCAACGTTTTCGAAAACGAGGGAGGCGTCACTACGTTTGTCGGTGGSTGTCGGTGCCTCATCATCCCAGCAGGATACGTCGGATGTAGTATCTGYAGCATGATTTTTGTGATTCTGAGCGGCGGCCATACTTCGGCCTTGATTGGGTGCATCCTGTTTWCGCTGAGTTTGTTAATGACACTCTGCTACTCCCCCAACCGGCTGACCGTCTTTTTGTGCCTGGGGTATGCAGTGGTGAATATAACGGTGGCAATAATGGATTATTATTGGTACAATTTGCTCCTACAGTGCTTGTTTCTATACTATGGTGTGACGATCGGAATATTCTCGATTGCCGACACATACGACGACACGGTCTTGCGGGAAAACAGGGRAAGCGATTCGGTGGCTTGCTCTCGAGAAGTTTGTCCCTGCTGCCCCTCCAAATGCATTGGCTTGCAATGGGCAATGCTCGCGATTTTCTTCCAGTTCATTGGAATGTGGTTCGCGCTGGTTGCTATGAGCCCAGAATGCGAAGATTTGAGCTGGATGAATTGCATGGACCCAGAAGACGATGGAATATGGGACGTGTGGGAAGTCTTGTTTGGTGGGGAACGACATCTTGATTTCGATGGATGGTGGCATCAGTTTGCTGAATCGATCGAGTGGAACAACCACTAAAGCATTACAGCACGAAACGGATTGATTGCACTGAACCGTGCATCGAGGAAGTCAAACAGGACTAGCCACCGGGTATTGCGATCGGGAGTCTTTCGCTAACTAAACGTGACCTGCTGGGACTGATCGCGTTGATTTATTGCACGAAAAGAAGTGTTCTGATCGAGAGACGATACAGTTGAAAATGGGACGAAATAAATGTTCCGTCGCGAAAAACCCTCTAAAGTATACAACTCATGAGCATGTATAAGCATTGAGTAAAATTTCCCAATTTTCAGGTATTGCCTGAAGGTGCGGGATAATGGTTCGAAATTTCCGAAGCCACTCGAAAGGAAAGTAACTAGGTGAGGCTACGTTCTAGTTTTTGTTTCAATGAAATGCCGATAGATGATACGACGGATTTGAATAACTGGATCGGGCTTGCGAGACTCGTTTTACGAGCTACCGTATTTCACCTCTTCAGCACGACGTATTTTTGCTTCAGTCCTGAACATCCTTGTCAAAAGTACGAGTGCTGTTAACATGGATAGTGCAGTAAGAATTTGACGTAAGTACTCGTGATTTACTCTCACAATTGAGCATATTGGTCTCTTTTATCGGTGGGATCAAAATCATCAGCGGTGTGTGCCCAAACTGTCTGCTGCGAAAACTTTTCGATCTTTCCAATCCCCCAAGCGTCGAAAGTGATAAAAATGTAGTAGTATTCAAAATAAAACTAGTACTGATACAAAATAAGATGAAGTTATTGTACGACAGATGCGGTGCACATCAGCAAAATTTTCAAAACAAGAAATGCCTTCCTTGCCGAAATCCCCTTCAGATTGATTGATTTAGCGTCGTCTCAGCTGCTGGTAAAACACAACGAGCTCCAACTTGACACTCGGCGCTGAATTTACAGTCCTAAGAAATAAAAAGAAAGTGACGGTATAAAGAACTCCMTCGCCTGTTGCCATATGAAATAATTGTCTAGCAGTCGCTCAATTTTTTTGGAACGCAATCACGAGATGTTCCTGGGAGCCAACACGATAGTTTCACGACGCACTTTCAGTTTTTTGCTATATATTTATATTTTGGAAGAGTTTGTAGCGCTACAACTTATCTGTGTTTCGATGGAAAATTGTACTTCATTATTGTTGTTGGTATTACAGATCGAAGAAAATTGTAATTTGAAAATGTTTTCTGTTTCAAAAATCATCGCTGGGAGTAGAATAAAAGAACTTTGGAATTGCATCAATGCATAAATGTTTTGCTTTGCTGAAGGATTTTTTTGTGTTTTCTTGAATGCAAAGCGAGTGCATGCATCAAGTACCGGAAGAAATGGTATCACCTTCGCATCGCGTTGCACCGTCTCTGTGGGATCCACAGTTTCGCTGTGGGGTGTTGCGCGGCTTTTGGAGTGTGCAGGCGCATGAAATTTTTTGCGCAGTCTACGACTGCTGGCACTGAACAGGCTGCGGCCCGCCCTCTTCATCGTCGCTGTCGTAGGTAGAGGAATGGCTCGCCGCCCCGCCCTTTCCAAAGTGTCTCACATCGGCGGCTTCGAGGTGAACCACCTCGGTCGTTTCGGCGTCCATGTCCACGTCGGCGGTATCGCTCTTGGTGGAAGGTTTCGGAAGGATTTTTTGGAGGGCGGCGACCGCGTTCTCGTCCAGCTCGCCCTCCGAGGGGAACTCTACCYGGAAGAGAACGTACAGATTGCCTTTCACAAAGGGGTTTCCATGGCTTGGCATGCCCTCGTTGGGGATGATCTTGACAAAGGGCTTTCGATCGGTGGTCTCCGCCAGAATGACCTCCCCCGGCTTGGAGCGCACAACGAGATCTCTGCCGTCCAGGTGCTCGATCTTCCACTCGAATCCACAAAGGGCCTCGTTGAGCGAAAGGGTCTTGTGCACCAGCAGATCTGCACCCTTGCGCTTAAAGACGGGGTGTTCCTTTTCCTGGATGATAAAGTTGATGTTCCCGGCTTCCATGTTTGGTTTTTCGTCGGCCTTGCCGCGGAAGACGATTTTCTGCTGGTGCTTCATGCCCTTTTCCACCAGGACTTCCAGCACCTCCCGCTCCCGCTTCTTTTGGTAGTTGTAGCCCTCGCCCCCGCACGCGGTACACCTGCGCTGTACCTGCTGTACCATCCCCAGTGCGATCTGGCGGACCTCGAGGACGACCCCGTGTCCGTCGCACTCGGAGCAGACAGAGGCGGAGCCGACGATGACCTGCCGGGTGATGGCCAGCTTGATGGTCTTGCCGTTGTACAGGTCTTCGAGCGACACCTTGATGGTGTGGTTGACGTCTTCCCCCCTGCGGGGACCGGCGCTGCGGCGCCCGCGGCCGCCGCCGAAGAACATGCTGAAGACATCATCGGCGGACGCRCCACCCCCGCCGCCGCCCTCTTCCAGCCCCTCCAGGCCGTATTTGTCGTATGTGGCCCGTTTCTCCGGGTCGCTCAGGATTTCGTAGGCTGTTTTGKAGTTGTGTCGGGGTGTTGGATTGGGTTCGGTTGATTCGTACAAGGAGTGCACGCGGGAAGCACCAAACCAACGGTATGCGGAGTGAAGCAACGGCGACATCATCATCGCGGTGCGGGAACGAAACCAGTTATTTTGGATTTGTTGGAGAGTTGCATCGTTAAAACACCGCATTGATGGTCCAGCACGTCGAATACAAAAAATATCGACGGGAGCAAGGAAAGGAACATCACCAAATGGATTGTGAGCAAGAGGAAACACGACTTGCATATTTTGTACGGTTCTAAAACAACAAATGTTACTGTATCGATAAAAAAACTMATCGAATACTGTCTAACCAACAAACCAACCATCCGACTAATTCTTGACCGAACCATCCCAAYCCATTACTCTACATTAGAACAGATACAGCAATAGACGATACTCACCTGCGTTGATCTCCTTAAARGTGTGCTCGTCTCCTCCCTTGTCGGGGTGGTGTTTAATGGCCATTTTCCGGTAGGCCTTCTTGATGGCTTTTTGGTCGGCGTCTTTTTCGATCTCGAGCGTCTCGTACAGCTTCGTCGTATCGACGTTGGCGGACGAGGGCCTGMCCCGCCCTCCYGGTCGCCTTCCGCTGCCACCGAAGTGCTCCGCAAAGGGATCTCCTCCAAAAAACATGGTGTTTGCGGTGTTGTAAACGCAGCAGTGGTGGTTGTGCAATATATGTTACGCAACAACCCTTGATGTTTTCGTAGAATTTTGMAATCGGAAAAAGTGGGTGRGCGAAGGTGTAATGGATTGTGACAGAATGGTATTTCTTCGGTCACGTGTTCGATAGCCAAGGTATCCGCCTCGTACGGTAGCAGAATGTCGCTCCGGCGTCGGTTTGGTTTTGTTCAATTCGGTTGCAAGGGAGGCCGAGGGATGGAAAAAAACTTCCCTCCGGCAACACACACACACACTGTGACACGCACAACTCAAATCTCCTGGACGGGAGCAAATAATATCAAATCAAAAAAATTAAAAAATCAAGAAGTCACTCCAAACCTTGCAGCAATGCCGCGAGCGACGGGCGAAGTTTAGAGACAAACACCGAGGTCGTACCGATCGTCTACGTGGTCTTGAAACACAATTGCAAAATCATCGCATGCGGCAGGTTTAAGCAAAAAACAAACCCTTGTTCGAATCGGAAAAAGAATCCACAAAAATATGAGCCGTCGCAAGAGCAAGCAAGGGAGTGGTTGGCTGGAGGCGAGGTGATGTGAATGAAATTGCATTTGCCGTGCGATAAAGCAGCGAGTAGGAATACAGTAGACTCCAACGCAACTGTACACGTACTTCGTACGTTCGCAGACCAGTCCTACCGGTAGTAGTCGTACGTGCCTCGAAGTACTGTCGTAATTCGGACCGAAACAGGTAATCTGAGCTGCCCTGCGCTGCGCTGCATCATGCTTCACTTGGTAACCGATCGTCCCACGTAACGGTACTACTGCAACGGAAAGGGAAAAAAAAATCGAACGTTTAAAATTCAAACGAAGGGAGACGGTCAAAAAAATGAGGCAGAAAACTTGACAGAGAGTTCCTGTTGGATACAGTATATATTGCACCACTTTGGATCGTACACTTAGTACGGTACATGCCTACTGTCCGTGCGTTAGGACACTCAGCKTTCCGTGCTGTACGTGCCGGTACTCGTACCGATTCTGAATCTGAACATGATTGCGACAAAAAGCGTCGTTTCAGAAAAAGCACGAGCAGGAACAGATTCCATAACAAGTCATACCACTGCCGCCATTGTGCCCACCCCCAGCCCCGGGGCACTGCTTGCGCTACAAAACAGAACACCCGAAGAAAAATACCCTACCGCAACACGCACCGCACCGCACCGCTTCGCTGCCACCGAAACGAGATGGAGGAACCTCTCCGGTCGCCGACCAAGCGGTACCACCCCCCCCCGTTCCGGGCGCTCGTTCTCTTCGCCTCTCGTGCGTTCCTGGTGCTCTCCGCGGCCCTCGCGGCCGCCGCGCACGCGGATCACATCCGGTGCGGGGTCTATCTGGCGCCCTCCTCGATCCCGGGCGCCGGTCTCGGCATGTACGTCGGAAACAAGACCGTCGCAGAAGGTGCCGTCGTGACGGGAGAGGACGTCCTGGTCCCCATCGTCGAGCGGTCGTGGCACAGCGCGCCGCACCTGCAGGAGAAGAGGCGGTTTTTGTGGGACGAGTACATCTGGAACGCCGACGTCTTTCCGTTTACGGACGGAGAAATCGGATGGGACCTGATGGAGGAAATGGTCATGGCGTCCCCCGGGGTCGGGTCCGCCGCCAATTCCTACCTGTCGATGGTCAACGTGGAGGACGATGTCGTTCGGGTGGGCCGGGCGGGCCTGCCAAGGGACTCCCCCGGCCAGGGGGCCTTTACGATCTACCACGGCCGGTCCTTTCGCGCGCAGAGACCGATGGAACCGGGCCAGGAACTATTTGTCGAGTGAGTGTCGATTTGTGTGGTTGCTGCTGTTGTTCCCACGGTTTGCTTTTTGGGATCGGTCCCACCAGCGCTGCATTCGTTATCGAGAAGAAACGAAAACGAAAACAAAAGCGGAACGCGTCCCTGTATCGAATCCGTCTCTCACGTTCATCTCCCTTCTCTCTTCGTTGATGTGACGGATGATTTTCAGTTATGGAGAAGAATACTTTACAAGTCGAGAACGTGTTGTAAGCTTTCGATCGATGCTGTTATTGGTACTCTCTGTGCTACAAGGAAATTTCTCATTTTTCAGTTTCACTTTTGCATTCTCGCATCGGACCATTTTCCTTTCTTCGCATGGACACGAATGTCACAAAATGTACAAACACTGCTGGATCCCTATTTCGTTCGTTTCGTTTTGCTTCCTCCTTTCTGTTGAAATTTCTGTGACGTCGTATATTCGCTGTGTTTCGTGGTGGCACAGTATGGATTTTTGCCGATGCCGGAAGATTTCCACGCAGCCGATCGGATACTCCAGGCTGCCCTCAATCTCACCATCCGCAACGATCGCATTGCTGCCGCAGCCGACGACGAAGATGACTCGGACAAAGACGACGACGAAACCCGAGTGATGGTATGGGAGGATCTGTACGGCCTGATGCAAGAGATATCTACCAACTTGGTGGACGGAAAGTCTCGCGTACTGAACGCCTTTCCCTCCGATTCGTTTGCCGTGGAAGACCTTCTCGAGAATGGAGGGACCGGTCGGCAGGACCACAATCGATCCATCCGGGACCTAGGATGGCTAGAGAAGCACGGACAGTGCGCGGACAACATCAACGCGGGAACGTCCACGATTCCGGATGCGGGCCGGGGGGCCTTTGCCACCCGTTTTATTCCCAGCGGTGGACTTGTGTCGCCGGCTCCCCTGGTGCACGTCGAGGACCTCGATACGATGGCGATGTTCACGGAACACATATACAACGAAGACGACAAGCTGGTGCCCAATCGAAGCGGAAACTATACCTGGCAGCTCATGATCAACTATTGCTTTGCCCACGAGMAGTCCACTCTGCTACTGTGCCCCTATGGACTTTTGTCGTCCCTCATCAACCACTCGCCCGGCAAGAACGCCAACACCCGCATCCAATGGAGCGAAAAACACCGCATGCGGCACCCGGAATGGTTGGGTCAGCCCATCGAAAAATGGGTCGGAGAATACCACACGGGATTGCAGATCGATTTCGTGGCCACCCGCGACATCGAGGAGGGAGAAGAGGTGTTGATCGATTACGGGCCGCTATGGCAAGCGGCATGGGACAAACACACTGCTGCCTTTGAATTTCGGAAGCACAGATCCGAGCACTACCTACCTTCTTACGAACTCAACGAGCTCCTACTTGCGGAAGAAGGCGATCCATCGGTTCCGCTGCGCACAGAAGACGATCGGGATTACCGGTTGGACGGAGTCCAGCTGTACTGCCACGGCTGGTATGTTGCGAGACACGGGATCGGAACGCGCAAGATGGACGAGAAAACACCCATGTGCAGCATCATCCGAAAGTTTGATGGCGATTCCTATTTGGTCCGAATCATTGACTGGTACAACGACGAGGATGACCGCACGACCAAATACGAGGAAGACGGTACTGTGTGGGGGCTTCCACGGCGTGCCTTTGTTTTCGACGACCTACCCTATTTCCGAGACATTCACCAGGAATGGGCCTTTCGCCACCCGATGATTATACCAAACGATATGTTCCCCAAGGTTTGGAAAAATGCCAACTACGCAAGCGAGGACCGTGAATTTTTGGAATACGTCGACAAAGCAGATGGCATGGAGGAGCACGAAGACTTTGATGACGAAGAAGAAGAGAACGACGACTATGACTATGACGAAACGTTTGACGATGACTACGACGATGGGGACGATGGCCAGCAGGAACTCCCTTCTTGAAACGACACATTTTCGTGAATCGAGTACATTGTAGGAAAAGGAAAAAAAGTTTCAATGAGATTGTCGTACTCACCCCTCATTACATACCTAACGCGCGTAAATGTTTTTACGTATAGCTTTCATATCAAGAATGCAGAGTGTAATATTTAATCAGAGTTTCTATCTATTTCTGACCTTGAGTTATTGATTGTAACGCATTTTTTGTGTGCCTATCGGAGCATGCAAATTTTTCACTACCAGCACAAAAAGAACAAAATCATAGGCGAATGTTCGGAGACTTTCGCCTGAATTCTTTCAAAAATGGCCCTCATTGCAGCGGACAACTAGCGTCGGAAACGTTCAAGGGTATGGACCGATTTAGCACTCAGTGGTTGCTTCACAGCACGATGCGAACCAGCACTAGGTGACTCAACAAACGCTTCAATACATATCCTCGGGATTCATCGCAGAATTCGCATGTGAGGATTCGGCATCAATCATGTGGGTGTCGTTCATGTCGCCAACGTCACCACGAGGGTTTGCCCTCGAGGCTGCAGGAGCGAATGTTTCGTAAACATTACCGGCAACGCACTCTTCATCCTCGCTACTATCTAATATTCCTGAGCGTTGAGACTGATTGCATCCCGGTCTGCTACTCTTTTGCGATCGCAAGTGCTGTCTTCCGCCCATGTTGCCCCGTTTGCCACCAAGAGAGCTCGCATCGTTTGAAGCCAAGCCCAAGTCGTGTTCTAGACAGGCCAAGCGTACTAGCATGGCGTGGGTATCATCCAATATCTTTTCCTCCATTGCTTGGAGGTTGGGGGCTGGATCGGTGAGGGCTTTGGTTTGGAAGAGAACCCCTTCACGGCAGTCCAACCTTGTAGTAGTAGGCAGCAAGTCCCGGTCTATCAAGTCTGCCAGCATATCTATAAGGGCGTCCAGGGTGCTTTCATTGCCATTGGTTGTTGGCGATGACACTGGAAAGAACAAATTCCTCAATTCATCGAGCTTCACTCTTTGATAAGGTCGGATATATTCAATAAGGCAGGTTTCTCGAATAGTTTGGACTAATGCGTCCCAGCGGCAAGGCGTGAGGTACAGATCCACGACCATTCCCATTGGTAGGAGGGGTTGAGACAACAATGGTGCCAGAGACGACTGCGACGACTGTGAAAGACCTACTGCTGAACTCATCGAGAAGGCTCGCATACAAGGTGCATAGTTAGCCCTAGACCAATGCACCAAAAGTTCCTTGACCGATGGAACCAATTCCAATGCATCAGGATGATCGGCCAGGGCTATCATCTTCGATCTATCTCTGGTAACGAGGCACATTAGACCGGCATACAGTGCCACATCCTCTGGGGCCGTTACACCCGGCCAGTGCAGCGTGTGACATGCGTCGCTGTCACTGTTTTCTTGATAATGGTGATTGTTTTCGTTGCTCACATTGTTTGACCCTATGCCTCCATCGGACTCCTTCATGACGAGTGCCACCAAAACATTGGCGGCTGTTTGGTAATCTCCAGATACCATTCGTTCGATGCCCTTGGCGAGTTGAACCTTTACACCGATATCCCGCAGGATTGCATCTTGGTTCGGATCTTGATTCTTATCGATTCTATTGTTGCGACTGATGGTGGAGCTAACGCCAACCTTTTCMTTAAGAGAATGCAACGTTGATTCCACGCGTCCCGTGTATTCTCTTACCATGAAGTAATCTCCGGCGTTGAGGGCAGATTCAATTATAAGTAATCCAAGCTGGGCTGTCTGGACGCGGGTCGTACAAACATCCATCGCAAGATACAGGGCCTTGTTTACTTTCGCTTTATTGTTGATATACTTGTTTTTGTTCTCATTACCACAATCTCCTCTGCTTTTTCCTAATAGATCGGCAAGGCTCTTAAAAGTGTCCTGGCCGGTCCTTTTATCGTGTGCTGCAAGCGCCAAACATGCGGTTCGAATGGCGTCCTTGTGCAAGCGGGACTTAGCTGTTGTAAAGCGTCCCTCTAAGACAAAACGGGTCTCGTTATTGCGACTTTCAGTAGAATTCGCCCAATTAGCATCGTAGGTTGGGAAGCCTGAAATAAAAGTTGTAGGATCATTTCATTTCGCGTTGATGTTTTCCATATTTTCGTAAGAGAATTGATTAATCATAAATGTAATTCAAATCATTCCGTTAGATTACATGCTCAGGTACAAATTAAAGAACATTCAACTGGAATAAAATACAAACGAAGCAAAGTGCAGAGAAGTGGAAATGGATGACTGTTTGCAATAATACAATATTGCTTGTTACTTACCCTCAAATAGTTCTGGATCGGCTCTTCTTGCTTCTGAACCACCTCCGAATATTTCTCTGTACAGTAAGACGTTATCGTCTCGAAGTCGCAGTTGCTGTTCTGCGAGGTTCAGGGCTCGTTTTCGTTGTTCCAAATTGCAGTTTTCTCGGGGACCCGCAGCAGCAATGATCAAGAGTCTACGCAACCGGTTTTCTCCCGTGTATCGGTCGATATATGAATCCAACTCCATCATTACGTTCTATTTACGTCTTACTCTACTTGGTATCGTGTTGCAACCGTTTATCGAATTGAGTTGTTTTGCACCGTGTCGCTGAATTTTTATGCTTAGCCCGGTGCCACCTTGTCGGAGTCACCGTGAAGCATGCGCTTAAACCAACAGGTATTTCTTGGCTGTATTGACGTTGTCGCAGTTGCGATTAGAGAACACCGAAGATAGCAGCAAAGTGCTTCAGCTTTCGAAGATAGTAAGAGTACTGGTAGTGAAGTGGAGCTACCGGTATTGCATTTTTTTGAGTTCTTCTCGGAGATGATCTCAGATTGCTGATCCTTTTTAATCAATCCCTACGGTACCGGTAGCACAGTTTACCGTACCGGAAAGATGGAGCGAGCAGTGATGTCGAATACAGTGAGGTTACAGTATGAATAAATGAAGCTTATTCTGTTCCTGAGAAGACCATCCACATCTTACCTACCATATGGTATATACATATGATGCTGTACCGTGCGGTGGACGCTAGGGGGAAGCGGGATTGAATGAGAAGTATGTTACGTACCGGACGTATCCAGTAGTCGTACGGTATGTATTATCATAATATTTGAAAATTATGTTCACTTTGTCGTCATCTTCTCCTTCAGACTAGAGCAGCTGTATCACCCATCCAAACAACTTCCTCTCGAAGACTGTAGCGAAGCAACGATAACTGCAGCAAAATTCAAGCGACGCGAGAAAAAATTCACGGTGTCTGAACTATTTTAAGAATGGAAGGGCCAGAAGCCAATCATGGAGGGCGCCCCAAAACCCCTCAAGAGTTTCTGGGGTGCGTCCCCATTGGCCATCCGGACTCGATGATGTCCGTGGAGTCCGTGAGAAAGGCAGTCGAAGAATTTCGAACGAAACCCACAGACGTCATCGTCGCAACCTTTCCAAAGACTGGTACCACACTTGTAACCTGGATCTGCCACCTGCTGCGAACCGGAGCATGTCCTAAAAAATCACTTGGGTTTGAAACCCTTTACGAGGTCGTTCCGTGGCCTACTCTATCGTGGGACATTGGATATGACCCCAACGTGCAGGGCAGCGAATTCAATCCGCGGGTCTTCAAGAGCCACCTGCGCATGGCGAGCATCTATCCTAGCTGCAAGTACGTGGTCACCATACGGGATCCGGCCAAGACGGCTCTTTCGTTTTACAACTTTTTTATTGCAAAAAAGGTCCCCTTCTTGGTGTCGCCGGAGGACGGCAAGCTCCTTATGGACGTTTCGACATTTTTACTGGACACCCCATTTGTCAAGGGAAATCATCCCAAGCGCGCTAGCATCTGGGACTATTACTCCGAATACCACGCTCTAATGGAGTGTCCCTCTGTGCTGATGATTATCTACGAAGATTTTGTGCAAGAGATGTCCTCGCAAACGCGAATCCTTGCCAAGTTTATGGACATTCCAGAGATGAATAAGGACGATGCAGATAACGAAAATCTTATTGCTCGGACTGTTTCCATGAGCAGCAAGGAATACATGGCCCAGCACATGTCGAAATTCGACGAGCCCTACGAGCGGGCCAAATCCCTCAGAAGAGCTGCCGATATTTCACAGCTTGCACCGGGGGCCAAGATTGCCGTGAAGAAACACGTTCAGAAGTTCGACGAGCGAGCGAACTCGTTTCTAGAGGACCAATGGAAGGCCACTATGGGAACACTGGGGTACGACGATTACGACTCTTTTTGTTCCACCGTTCGGACAAGGAACAAGAGATTGTTTGGAAATAGAAACATACAATAGAAGAATAAAGAACTCAGAATGAACTAGATCGAATTATAAATATTGATAGCACTGAAAACAAAATTCAATGGAGAATGGCAGCAAATAGCTATGTCGACTTCTACCGAGAAATATGTGAAGAACATTCGCATTTCTTTTTATAGATAGAACTAAGTGTTAAAATCGACTTACTAATATAATAATTTCAAGTTCTAAACTTTGATTTGAAGTTATGAACTTTAAAATGTTGAAACCGGACTCCGCCAGAGAGCAGTAAGTAATAATATAATAATTTCAAGTTCTAAACTTTGATTTGAAGTTACGAACTTTAAAATGTCCCGGTAGAAAGTCTACCAGGTTCTAATGAGCTAGTTTTTGGATGGCATTCATGATTGAAAGGCCAGGATTCATAATTGAATCACCTCGAACTAGGGGAATCGATTCGGTTATTCAGTCAATTTAAAAACAAGCTCAATAGAACCTGGTACATGATGTACGAGCAAAGTTCATAACTTCAAATCAAAGTTTATAAAAACTAAAAACTTCCAATCAAGACTTTTTGATCTCTGGCGGTAGGACGAACCACAAGGACTAATCAAAAAAGAAAAGAACCTTACTTAACGGGATTCGATTCAATTTTTCAATTATAGTAAACGGGCGAAGAGAACAACGAAAGACCAAAGAACATACATTCTGCACAGGTTTCAAGAATTGTACGAATTGTTTACTTCGTTTCACTGAGAGAGTAAGCGCCTAATTGTTTCTTCCGAATGACTTCGCACAAAATGGACTGGGGAGAACTTTATGTGATCTACGTGTGTGAGCAGTTTGCGGGTTTCGATTGAAGCAATAAAAAAAATATTAATCTACACGCGCCCCTATTTTCTACTAGAACAGAAGCAATTCGAAGCAAAAAAGTTTTTCAGGATGCAAACATTCTTAGCCATTTCCAAAAGTATCCATCCGGATGTCACCCACCATGACAATTGCGCTTTCTGCTATGCCAGTGACAATCAGGGGACCTGCCAACGTGGATGAATGCATCATGTCTTCTTATCTTGAATACCAATCGTTCTGGCCGTCGATACCACCATTAGCGTTGACGACATCGTCGTCGACATCAACAACAGTATCAGGAACATCGATATCGACGCGCCAAAGACCAAGTCACTCAGATCTAGTTGCAAAGGCATCCGATATATCGGGAAGAAAGCTTTGCCTACCACCGGTGAAATCGTCACGAAAACGTCCATCACTGATTGATGACGAGCCAAGCCCTGCAGAAGAAAATCACGTCAACAGTGGCTATTGCAATAGTCGCAAGCGAATAAAACTGTGCAGTCGCACTTTTACTCTTGCTCTCAATCCTGATGCTGCAACGAGAAATATTCCTTCCACCACTTTGATCATGCTGCCATCCTTCGAAAGCAAAGGTAACGACAAGTTAACGATCTCTGACGACGAGGATGCTGATGGCGATGACTGTTGTCACGACTCAAAACCACCACCCGTTGGCTTTTCGAAAAAAGAAACAATCACGCCTCTATCATCGCCGCCGTCTTCTCGGTTCTTCGAGGAAGAAGAATATGTCGACGGCCTCCATCAACGAGACAACTTCTTTCCCCAGCCACCAACGTTCAGACGCCGATTGACAATTCGGAATTCCTCCGATTTGGACGAATCCATAGAAGAGTTCACACATAGACGCCTCTTTTCAGAATGAAATTTCCTGAAGGAAATGTATCCCTTTGGTTCTGAAACTGTAAAAGATCCTCCCATTGTGTGTATTAATTTTGTATCACTAAAATTACCACATTGTTCATAACAATATAATCATCATGTCTGCTATTATTCATCAAGACTTTAGTAAACTTACCCACATCCAAAATTTGCAATACTAGCTATTCAACAGTAAGCCAGTTCTGATGACTGGTAACTAAAAGAAGAAGCTAGAGCAGGGTACAGTTGTTCCCATTACTATTGATTAAATAGATGGAGTAGGGTACAGTTGTTGCTGCGATAAATAGAACCAGTGTTTTGTCATATTCACTACAAACTAATACTACTAGTACTACTACCACTAGTATGGAAACAATAGTAATCATAGCACCAACACCAGCCCCTGAATCCACCATCCAAGAAATATCAATCATTATGGCTTTTCTGCTCCTGCTAATGCTGGTGGCTGCACTCAAAGGAGCAAACAGAACAAGATGAATAGTACCGTAGTAGTATCCTTGATGTAGTAGCACTCATACTAGTGAATCTGTATAAGAGCTGCTTCTTCTTTTAGTAGTAATACTACTAGTATGACTTGGAAATAGGAGTAGCTAGAACACTGTGTTTGGGCTGCAGCAGATGGACTGAAAAATGCCATTTGAGCCCCTGAGCACTACTAGTTGAAACATCAAGCATTATACAACCATGTCTGCTGGAGAGAAAACACCTTCATTAATATCGTTTTTGTCTTTGTCCTGATGGAAGGATCAGGATCTCAGTCTTCAACTACCTTAGGGACTGACACAATAGTGCTATCTCTGATCATGGTGTCTGTCAAAGGATTGACGAGGAAGTCAACAACTTGTTCAATGGAGAAAAAGTTTTTGTCAACTCAAGGAAAAGGAGCATATCCTCATCAGGAGCACACAGAAGGACCCTGAGAATGATAATCTTCTTCTTTTAACCCCTGGTACTCCTCCACCCCCAGCTCTTCCAGGAGCCAAAGTGCCAGCAGCAGCAGTACTAGTAGTAAATGTTCCAGCAGCAGCAACAACAGAGAATGCTCCTACTTCTAGTACTAAAGTGGTCACCTTAGGGGGCTCTGAAACCTCCTCAGCACCAGATCAAAGTCCTCCTCTCCAGTACCAACATTTGCCTTCTTGTTCTTACCGATCAAGATCTAAGCCTTCCTTTCAAGCTTTCACATTCCCTGGCATATTTGGTTTCCCAACTGAGCTCTTCTTTTTCTTTACAGAGTTGTAGTTGGACCTGACAAAGGACTAGCTTCTGAAGCAGGGCCAACATGCCACATGGCATATCACAATATCATCCACAAGCAACAGGCAGGGAGCTTCTCCATTAGGTGTATCAATCTCATGAGGTTTTGTAGCTTATCATGTGAGAAGTTTATGGCACCAGCCTTGTGGCTGTTGTTGCCAGTTTGATCCATCTTAAGATATAAGATAAATATTATGCAGAATTGGGCAAATAGGAGCTGCCTCTTTGACCACCTCCTACTGCAACAAATAGAGGATCACCTTGTTGGAGATTCTTTGTTTTATGTGTGCTGGTGCCAGACTTCTTAGAAGCGCAAATGTCAAAAGAGGTGCTTGCTGATAGAAGCACCTCTTCTGCTTGTTATTGTTATTTAGAAAAACTGAGTTTCCAGTTTTAGCGGGTCTTATTTAGCACATTTTGAATGTTGATATTTGGCCCATTCAAAACTGCTGAAAATAGAACCTATTTTGCTAAATTTTTGGTCTATAACGCTTTTAGAATAATGGGAATGATCCATTGCTGTGTACTATACCAAAGTATTTTGCAGGTTTCTGTACATTGTTGTGGTCAATTGCAATAAGGAAATGGAATTATCTCATGGATTGGCTGATGTGTGCATCTGTAAGAAGAAAGCTAGTAAAAGAATAATAGCTGGCGGTAAGAATCATGGTTCTAGTACTAGCAGTAGCACTCGTAGACAAAGCTACTGTGGTCTACTTAAAAAATAACGTTATTTGTAACCTTCTAAGTTAGATGATATTACATTACTAGTAGTAGTACTGCTATTTCAGAACAGATAATACAATTTCTCTGGAAGTAGGAAGAATTCTCCTTGTGTTGCCCCATCCAAAATCATGGTTCTAGTAGTACTAGCAGTAGCACTCATAGACAAAGCTTTTGTGGTCTATAAAAAAATAATGTTATTTACAGCTCAATGAGTCAGATGGGATGGCTACTAGCTAAAAGTGCTACTTTTTACTAAGACGAACAACCATTGTTACAATTTTTCTGGCTGGAAGTAGGAAGAATTGTGTGGCCCCGGCCATCCAAGGGGTGCCAAGAAAAAAGCACTATCATGACCAGCAGCATTTGACTGAAGCAGGCAGGGTGTTGCATGCTGGTGAGGATGATGAGGGACATGATACTAGTAGTACCACCCCCCACCACCACCACCAGCAAGAACGACACCAACACCAGCAAGAAGAACAAAGAACAAATTGCTGAAGTACTACTAGTGTCGTACTATTATTAGTAATAGTTTTGGGTCACTCATCTTCCAACTTTACTACTTGGGCCTAAAGTCAAATAAGAAGCACTGAGTTTGTCCTGTCCTGACATTGAGCCCTGGCCTATCTCTTACATGTGATTTCTTTCATGCAAAAAATAACCAATGTTTTGGATCCCCCAAAGTAAACAACTGAAAACGGGGAGTTCCCGAGGGCCCAAGTAAGCAACAAAAGAAGCTGTAACACAGCCAACCTCATGACAAAGGAGCAATAAGAGCCGCAAGGATGGCAACAGATCGATAGCAATCGGAAAAGCAGCAGCGAGTTCCACCCTTTCTACGCTCGCAACTCCTCAAAACACATTGCCGTTGTTAGTTAGTTTGTTTCGCTACTAGTTTTAATCTATTCCAACAGCTGCGCCTCACAGACCGATCGATCGATTACATCCCTTCACCTATCCATTTGACTCCGCTATGTCCTTTTCGGCCCCCAGACGCCCTTTGGATTTAGCCTTTGTTGTTGTTCAATCGCCGCAAGTTCCCCACCCAATGGGCGATAACAATAGTAACAGCAGCAACAACTATGCCGACTCGGATAGCGATGAGACTTTCGACGATATGCCTCCCTTGACGGACATGGACACGAGCACAAGCATTCACGCGAACATTGACGCGGACAACGACGCCAATACCGGTGGCACGGGAACAAACGTCGTCGCGATGACTGGCATTCCCAGCGAACGCGATATCTATGAAGAGACGAATTTGAGAACCGAGTACATTGTCAGCGAGGTAGACGAAGACGAGGATGAGGATGAATACGAGGACGAAGATTATTTCGACGAGGACGAGGACGACGCGGATACCGCAGCAGAAGTTATGATGGCTCATTACTTGCAGAGAGTRCTGGAAGACATACCAGAGTACGACACTGGGGATGTCTTCGAAGACGAGGACTACGAGGAGAGCCACGCCTACGATGACTTCGACGAGGATCTCGAAGGATCCGATCCTTGCAACTGCCCCCAGTGCGTCTTGCATCGGATCGTTGGACGCCATTCGAGCTGCTACGAAGCCACGGATTCCTGTAGCGACGAAGGAGATGAACACGACAACGATGTCCCCCTCGATCCACTGGCCAGTCCCTGTGCCATCTGCATGGAGCCGGAGACGGCTGCGCGACGGTTTGCTTGCCTGCCATGTTGTTCTTCCGGCTCGAGGATGGCCACACGGCAGGACAGCCACGGCCACCACCTGCCGGGGACACTTCCACCCACCACTACCGACACGAGTTCGACACGGTTTTGCTACAAATGTCTCGTCACGTGCCTCGTAAAAAACGGTTGTGGTGTCCACCGGACGCTAGAACGCGGCGACCATGACCACGGTTCGAGCGACAAGACGAACGGCAACACCGATGCGCAGCTGGCGGGGGAATGTCCCCGCTGCAAGAAGCTATTGGTCCTCGAAGAGCTCCCACTCGAGGACAACAAGGACGCCTCGAAACCAAAATGGCAACATCCACTGCCCGGCGGACTGCCGAAGCAATGCCTCGCGAAGCCCCCGCTGGCACGCAAAGCCTCGGAAGAGATCGCCTACCACAAACGCACGGTTGCCGCCATCCCCTCGACGGAGGCCATGTTTTGGTACGTTGCCAGTCGCAACCATCTCCGGATCTACCTGGTCGTTCTGGCTACCTGCCCCAACCCGCGCTACATTCCCGAGGAGTTGCTGCTGACTATTGATCCCTCGAGCACGGAACGAATCCGGTTGCTTTGCCAGTGGGGATTGATTGCCAAGCGCCAAAACTCACCAGCATGCGCAAGTACAAAGTCGAGAACGAGCCTGCGAAAGCGGCTAGGTTCGATCATGCAGCAACTCTGGCAACGCGGTCCGCTGGGAACGGCGGCGGCAGCAGCAGAAATGCCGGATCGATCGGATGCCTTTTGGAACAAACACTACCAAGCAATCCTCGGCTCCGTCCGAACGTGGAGGATTTCGAGAGCCTGCTGCTCGCTAGCCGAGGCGAGCAGGAACCTCCCCAATCGATCGGGAACGGTGTATCAAATCGATCCCACCGTTCAACACACACTCCATCGCCTATCGGCGATGTATCTGCAATTGGGGGATCTCGACGATCCCGCAATCGACCGTGTCGGGGAAGAGGACCAAAGAGAGTACGAGGGATACTTTGGACTGTGCCTGCTGGCCCCCCGGAGCAAGCTCCAAACACAAAACACAACGGGCGGCACCTCGATGCACGACGAGAACCTGGAACTGTTTTTGGAGGAGAATGGAAGAAGGCACTGTCTCTTGGTGGCCAGGGATTGCTTTTCCTCGGCCGTAATGGCTGCCGGTCGACTCCGGATCTGTCGAAGCCTCGCGCTGGCTCGATGGGGATCCTCCCTGGTGCTCCTTTCGTGGGGCGTTCTGGGCCTCCCGCCCCTCGTTTCGTGGCCTCTGGCCGTTGCCAACAACGGTGCCGCTCGGTGGCGGTGGTACGCCATGGATGGCCTGAACCTGGTGGTGGGGCTCTTGCTCGCCAAGATTCTGGTGCAGGTGTTCTGGATCGGAATCCACCTGGCCAAGGCAGTGGCGGTGTGCCACCTCGCAGGGAGCTGGCTCGACCTAGAGCGGCAACGGAAGCGCTCCAAGCGCCAAGCCAACCAAGACGCAGGCACGACGGAAACCCACGGCATTCTCGAGGGAAAACGAGCCGTCGGTGCCGGAATTCTTGCTGTGTACGTTGCGTGGAAGACGTATCATTATTGTTCCGGGGAGCACTGTGCGAGTGGCTTGGGAGAGGTGGTGGGCCAGTGAGCCATCTGGCCGGTGACTTGAATGCGCCTGAAAACAAGTTCAGGAACAGAGAACTGTTGTAGGTGGTAGAGAGACCACGGCGAAGGGCAGACGTAGAATGACATAGCGAAAAACGCATCATCCTGCGAAGAGAAAGGTTATGGACACGACTAGCTACTGAATGAGGATCGTATCCGATATAGAACAGTATTCTGTTTGACGATGGTTGATGCAAGATAAATGAGTACTAGCTGCAAAGAGCTTCAGACAGATAATCGGCACGGCAAATTGAAAATTTTTGGTTTGTTGGCACCGATGGACATCACTGGCAGAACACAGCTGAATCCAAAAAATGGCATCCACCACACTCAGGAGATGGATTGTTTGATGACGGCAACGCACCAAAACCAAAGCCTTCAGTAGAAGTGCAAAGCAGGACTACCGTTGCCGTTGGCATGATAGAAACTGATGTATTCATAGAAAGCATGACTGGGTACCTATGATCTAGGCGTGGGATAACGATGGCGGGTTGGGCCTGCAAAGTTCGGCAATGCAGTTTCTAGTAGAATAGATCTTGCACACCGAATGGCATTCCAGTTGATAGTAGGCTCGTGCCCAGTGTTGTTTTTCACCGCTACAGCGACTTACGGAACTTCGTTTTGGAGACCACAAGGGTAGTCACCAGTTGACCTCGTATACCCATGCCTCTATCCTCCGACGATACTACGAGTACGACCGATCCCTAGGTGAAGACGATGCTGGGGATGCTCGCGTGRTATTTAGAGGTCCTTATGGCTACAACTATTTCTTTCGTAAAAATAAACTTCCTAAAATCCCGTCTCTACGCCAATGTTCTATGATAGTCCCGATCCGGATCGTGCTCTGGTACGCTCGAATACACAGCCGGCGTTGCCGGCAAGGAAATCTCGATGCGGAGAGGCTCCTCGTGGCTAGCACGAACTATAGCAACGACCAGAGGAACAACAAGGTTGAGGAACAGCCAGCACTTGTCGATGAGTTTTCCAACGAGAATGCCCGTCCCGGGGTCGCCGGAGGTCGACCATGTATAGAAAAAAATCGCCTCGCCCGTCTTCACGATGTGGGCGGTGCCTACGAGCTTGACGGAMGAGACCAAAAAGAGAAGAGACAGGTAGACCTTGCCGACGWGGGCCACRTTTTCGGGCCGGTCGAGACCGAGACCAACCCCGGYATATTTCTGTTTTGTCTCGACAACGTACGCCGTGTTCGAAGCCGCAATCAGGAGGAGTCCCACCTGGAAACAGAGGAATCCAAAGGTGTGTCCCTTTACGTCTTCGTAGGCTCTGATCACAAAAATCAGGCCTTGGTGGTTGGTTGGATCGAAAAGCAGCACGCGAGMCSAGGAAAGAAAACAAGAGCGTCCAAAAAACAACACGGCATCGCAATCGGATGTGAGTGTGAGCGTCCCTGGCATCGCACGCCGAACGGAATGGCGACCCGGGACTTCCGTGCCAAGAAACAATCGGACCAACAAACCCACACGCACRCCTTGCGGTTTTTCCTACTCACGAAAGACGAGGCAAAGGAATACGGTAACGGGATACTGGATCTTGCAAAACCTCCAGTACMGGGCGCTTACCCTGCCCGCCTGGAAGGAGAGCTTGGTGTTGAAAAAGTCCAGCGTGAGGTAGGTGATCATCGCAACCTCGAAGAABGGAAACAAGACCGCCGTRTATTCACGAGCGGGAGAGTAGTCCCAGTACACGCAGATATTGGAATACCCGAAATTCTCGAAGAGATGGTTTTCGGTGGCAAAATCGAATCCTTTTCCGTAGGTGAGATTGAAGCGACCCCCGTTCTGTAACACGACCCGAAGGGGTTGCGGTRGCAAAGAAACAACAAAGAACTCCAGCGGTGAGACGGCCAATGGATCTCGGTCTTKCCAACGGCTGGCACAACAAACACCAGAGCGATYGATYSRWTCGATCGAACCAAAACGAAACGACGAAAACGACGAAACTCACCCGGTTGAACGGCCCGCACCCAGTCGAGTTGGTGTCGGCCGTGGCGTTGTTGCAGCCCGGATCCCCCTTTTCGAGGACCCCCGCCACCACCAGGGTGCTCACCAGGTAGGCAAAGAGGACGAACACCATGAACACGGCGTACGCCGCGATYCTCCACGACTCGACTCTGCACCACAGCTCGATGGTGGCGCGCTGGTGCTGCMKGGRAACACCAASACCCGCGTTGTTGTCCCTTCCGCCCGTGGCGGTTGGTTCGTCGCAGTGTTCTGGTCCGGCCCGTTCGTTCCGTGGGCGAACCCTCGATCTCGATCTCGACCTCAGCGGCAGGCCAACGGCCRAGGCCGYGGAGGACATMTCGAYATTCATGGCGGAAAAGGATGGATCGCCGGGGACTTTATGGAAGCAAGGCACTGGAAACGGAAACGCAYTTTCTTTGGTGTGGTGCGAATACCGTATCGACACTGTTTTGTAATGACTGAGTGCGTTTCCCGCAATTTTCTTCGCCCAAGCCGTGTCGTCAACAGCATCTTCAACGTGTGCAACATACTGTATCCGGGAAGAAGTATTCCGTCATTTACTGGTATTACTGTAGTGGCGTCACGAATGATCTGCATCGTAGTTTTGTCGCGGGTTTCGGTTTCGGAGTTGGGATCATCGGCAGATCTGCTATCGAATCCAGCAGCTGTAAGCCGCTCTACTGAATGTACGTAATCATTGCTGATGACAGAAGAATTGAGTCGTGCTCTTCTGGGCTATTAGTACGTAGTATTTTTTTACGCGCGAGGCTGCTCGAACGAGAAAGAATTCGAGGAATCGTGTTGCGGGATGAGATTCAAAATACAGTGCTTACTGCCAAATGCTGATAGGCTCTTTAGTGTACCATATAGGCTCTTTATTGTAAACACGTACCGTTGATAGGATACTAAAGGTCTATAGTCCATGGAGATCAATCACGAGTAGCTAGGGAGTGAATACCCCCAAACAAAAGTCACGAGTAGCTCGGGAGCGAATACGAGTACTCGTAGCCTCAATCTTTACTGTAGACCCCCTCTACGGTACGAACGGTACAGTACGGGCAGTAGCGGTATTTACACACTGAGGGAACTACTTGGTACCAGTTAATTCGATATAAAGTGCGTTAACCGTAAAAAGCCTACCACGCCCTACATAGAAAAA